AGAGAGAGATAGAGGGGGAGCAGGCAGTGATAGAATAGATATAGAGCGCGCTCGATCAATGGAAAAAATAAGTCCTTCGTGGAGTGCAACTGACCTGAAAAGTTGGGCAGACTTTTCGACATTCGCCTGTGTTTCTTAGAGAGGAAACTGCCGGAGCCGACATCCTGCCCGGAGGAGGTAGATGGCGGACTGAAAGGTCCCGGCGAGACCACAGCAGAATCCTCTTCCTCATCCTCTTCCTCGGCCTCCTCCTGTGAGAGGAGAGAGAAAGTGGTCTCCCAGGCGTACTTAACTGAGAAGGGCGGTGATGGGGGAACAACCTGGTGGCGGTTGACAACTCCTCCTCCTCGGCTGCCAACTTCATCCAAAATCAGGGCTTCCGATGCGGAGTCCCTTGTGGGTGACGAGGTAAACCGGGGCAGTGGTAACGGCTGATCGAGGTGCCCCTCAAGTGACAGCTTCTGGCTGCCTAGCCGGCTGGAAAATAGAGAAGTGGGGGTGGGACGGATTAATGTCAGAGGGATAGACCTAGCCGTGGGTAAATCGCAAATGACCTTGGACAATGACAAGGTCGTGACATCTAATAGTGAGGTTGGAGCACGTGGTGGTTATCTGCGATCCATATCTTACGCAAACTAGTACCTAGGCCACGCATTTTGCACCGCTCGTCTTAACTGTGGCCGGTTGGGATTCATCGGCCCCGCAGATCGATCCAATGGTCTGTGTAGGAGGCCTGCAAATACATATGTTTATGGTGTCCGCCATACAGCTCATACAGGAAGGCGACCAATGAAGTCACCGACCTAAGAACAGTTTTCAACTGTGGCATATCTCTGCTTGCGATGCTGCCGCGAGTGACCGAATCGGGTGGGGGCAAGTGTAGTGGATAACCAATAGTTCGACAGTCGCAAGCAACGTGGCAGTGACTTACGCGTGATTAGGATTACAATGCTGGACAAACAGGACATACTGATTGCACTCAACCTCTCACACCTTCTTCATCCTGGACCAATGAAAAGCGCGACTTAAGTCGATAAGCGGGAAATTGGAAGGGAAGGCCCGCGGTAACAGGAGAAGTTCAATTTAGGTGTGCCCCACACGGGTCGACCGACTGCATCAACGCGACTCTCACGCAAATGAAGGTGCCGCAAAGGTAATTCTAAGGAGCCATAGTAGGCTGGCAATCAGTTCAGAGAAGAACCAAACTATCCCGTCACGACTCTTAATGCTTGGTGTGAGATTCACGCGCGTCAGACTTCTTACAGGGAAATGATATGTTGTGGAGATCAGTTCTCTGGTGTCAGCCTCACTCGTCTTCCCTTTTTCTATGAAATACTCGACTGTCCGAGAGCCTCGGCCACTCAGTGATGGGATTGGGCGCAGTGACTTACAGAGCTAAATAGGCCGTCTACACTTGCTACATACGACCTGATCACCACCACATGTACCAGACTACATCGTAGGCCCATCGTGGTCTGACCCTCAATTCGGAGACGAAGCAAATTGTACCCGTTGACTGAAAACGCTGGGAGCCAGGACC